CTGAAAAATGCAGGATTGCAGCTCTCGAGGACCTGAGTTGGAAAGAGCAGCGACTCTAATCCGAGTCTCTCCCAGAAAACTGAACTCCTGTCTCTACTGGAGAGCCCTTCTCTGAGGAGCACTCATTTTGACTGCATATAAACTTTGACATARAAATTAATAAAGGTTTTATTTATTTATACGTCAGAGACTTTCCCAGTAAGACCTTGTTTTAATTTGTGAGGAAAAAGTGCACAATGCATCTCATTTAAGTATCAACTTCTAGAACCAAGTGGAGCAAGTTAAGCACGATGTAATAATGCAGCTATCCTGGTTCTTTCACCGTCACTCATTTCCATTAATTAGGGAGACTCGCTGTGTGTCCACATGGATTTGACATCAGTTCTAATTTGTGTCACTCTGAAAGTCTGATTAATTCTCAGTTACTGTGGGGGAAAAAGGAAAGACAAGACTGCATTACAGGAGGCGAGGAGAATGATGGAGTCTGAAGAAGAGTAACACAAAAGTGAACAGAGGCTGAGCAGCCTTCTGAAAGAAACAAAAGCCTCAGACTATTTTTGTTTTTGACAGCTGATAATAATCATTTCATGTGCAGGAGACAGGACGTAATATGGTGTGAAACCACCTCTTTTGAAGCAAAAATTAATGATAGTTTGGTATCAATGCAACAGAAAAGGAATGATGGTAATAAACACTTGTGTGGAATCTAATTTAACCGCCAGATGAAGCGTCTTTCCAATGATGGCCAGTGCAGCTTGATGATTTTGTCCACACTTTAATAAAGCACCTTTAGATGTAATTTGCACATCAACAGATTTAGCTCACTATTTGGCAAGAGACCAAACAGTTTTGTCTCTTTCTCATCCTTAATTAATGTATAATAAACACTTAATAATGATTTATAAAGTGTTTACAGATGAATTAATAACATATCTATAAATTATTTACAAGGGGAGCCTTACTGTAAAGTGGTACCGAAAAAAACTTTAGTGTTTTTGCTTAAATGAGAAAAAGTGCAGGGTTCAAACTTCCTGGTTGTCTCCTCCCTGTCTGGCGTTTGTATGTTCTGTGAAAAGGCACGGGTGGTAGGTTATTATAAATTCTCTGTAGGTGTGAGTGTGCCAGCCTGTCTGTCTCTTTGTGTTAGTCCCGTGTGTCTTACCTCTTACCCAATGTCAGCCGGGACGGGCTGCAGCCCTCGGGCCTCCTCCGGCAGACACAGCTAATGGAAAGTGACAGAATAATGGGCATGCAGAGAAGGTAATCAAGGTATACATTTGACACAAAAGCTATTTTGATCAGGACAACCACAATCTCGTTGGCGTAGTTAACATTTTTCCTGCTGCTGCTCCTGGCACATTTCATACTCTAATTGTCCGTGGTGACAGGTGGTTGCTGTAGAACGCAGTGTGAGTGAGACATGGAGGATTTTATGAAATTATTTTTTGTACTTATACATACATTTTCTTACAATTTCTTTCTTTACATTTCCATACTAAGCTCCGCTATAGCCCAGGGCTGCCCCACTCTGATTTTACATTAATGCAGAGAAACTGGTGGTCTTCTCCAAGCTATCTAAACTCAGTCCTTCAGTCTTGTGCTCCTCATTGACTACAATGATCCTGGTCAGCCATGTTGTTTGGTTACTGCAACCCTAAAAAGCAGATTTACTCCATGAAGGTGAAATAAGCAACTAAACTCTGTTAGAGCAGTGGTTTCCTGATCATACGCCTGGTGGGATCACTTCTCTTGACACCAATAGAACTCCAGTCATCACTTACTTTTTAAGTATTTACTTACCTAATCTTCTGCTTTTTTTCCATCAAGTTTAGCCCCTAAAAATATCTCAGCTTTTCTTCCATCTTTACTGTAATTAAGCTTAAAATCACTCCTCACTTTAGCAGCAATCTAAAACAATACTGTGCCTACGTATGATTTTATAAACTGGGTTACAATTTTTTTTTTTTTGGAAAAACAATCATAAAAGTAGCATTATTACAAACATGAAACAATGTTTTAAACTAAAATCTCATGTGATCTGTCAGGACTAAATAAGGAACCACATAGTTCAGTATCTGTAACAGTGACAGAGCTATCACCCTTTTTGTGTTTGCTAACATAGATTATTTGTGGCAACCCTCGAATTAAACGTCAACATTTTATCCTTTGCAGATGTGAATTTAATGAATTCTTCTTGAGAGTTTCATTAAATCCTGTCCAGTGGTTCACAAGAACTTTGCAAACAGACAGTCAAATGAACACACATAGGTAATTACAGCATGGGATATGTAATTGGATTTGATTATATTTATAATATAATGCCACAAGATAACTTCTGTTGTGTTTTAGCACCATATAAATACACTGAACTGAACAACAAAAGATTAAAAATTAGACTGTAGCTTCAGAGCAGGTTTTGCAGATACAGRGGGTAAAATACTGTAAGTATTGAACACGTCACCATTTTTCTCAGTAAATATATTACTAGAGGTGATAATGACATGAAATTTTCACCAGATGTCGGTAACAACCCAAGTGA